GGACAAATTTCTTCCATCCTAGTGTATTCCTGAAATTCTAAGTTGTATGTTTTATCTCCAGACCCTTAAATTATCATCTCTATGAGAGTTATTCATAAATGAACACCAGTGAAAGTAGGAATTACAGTCTTGCTTTATTTGATGTATAACAATATGCAACTTGCATATGTCTTTTTCAAAAGGTTAAAATACATCCAATTTATTATGTCCGTTTTTAAAAATAATTAGCAAGTCACTTTATAGGAATTTCAATATAGTAACATTGTGCCCTTCCAAGTAGTCAAATCTGTTCCATTTTAAACCTACCTGTACAGTGAAAATTGAAAGTTTCTCATAATTTCAGAGAGGAATATCTATGTATCCTTTCAACTGTATTGTTGACTGATAAACAAAAATATTTAAAAGTGGTAATGAACTTTCGTTACATTATTACTTATAAAACGTTATCAAATAGCTGAAATGATGAAGGTGTCAGAAAGACATTGCATCATTACGAACTAGCAATTGAAACAGTTGTGATCAAATCAACCATTATTTACGTTTATTAAATTTTTAACGAAGAGGAATATTAGCTAACTTGTTAAGGCTTGGAAAAGGTTACATTGGATCAGACTAAACCATTGCTTCCGTCCTTGAAATTTTCGATTGTTGATCTTAGTCCTGTAGGGGGATGTGGACATGTCAGTAAGTTTTCATGTGATAATAGAAACTTTTGGTTTAAGATCCTAGGTGAGGTGTCTCAAAGTGGTTCTAACCGGTGTATATTATTATTATTATTTATCCATTGGGTTCCTAGTGGAATAAAGGACTTCAGTGGCACATCGCTATTCATTATTTTCTCTGCACTCTTCTTAACCGCCCACTAGCTTTCATTTCTTCCTCACACCATCTCTTCCATGTCACACTCTCACGCCCAACATTTCTTTTCGCATTTGAGTTCCACTCCATGGCCTGGTCTGGTTTGGCGTGGTGCGTGATGTCCTCAAACAGTCTTCTCAGTTTATATCCAACTCAACCCAATTCATCTCCACTTTCTTCGGCATATTTGTTGGGCGATGGTTTCTTGATTGGTTGGTACGTTGTCAGCCAGCGAGAGTTCCTAGTTGTTCATTCTTTCTGGCCATCCATCGTCTTTTCAGTATCGAGTGAATGTAGGCATTTGTCGATGTATATCTGTAGTTTGTTGGAATTGCTTTCCGTAGCGTGCCAAGTCTCTTAAACATCACATAGAAGTCCTGACTTGACTGATATTCGTGTTGAAAATACGGACCTTGTTCTTTACGCTGAGTGGAGTGCAGCAGATTTGTTCATTGGCTTCAGGTTATTGAAAAAAGGCCTGTGTTGCTGTCTTTCGGGCCCTGGCTTTGACATCCTCACTTGTGCCCCCTGCGGTTAGAACGGCGCTGGACAGGTAGGTAGGTGAAAGAGACAACTTGCTTTAGATTTCTCACGTTTACAGTGATAGGTGCTTTTTGTGGATGTAGTTGTTGCTTCTGGTTGCGTATCTTTATCAGCTCTGTCTTATCTAAGTTCACTTGAAGGAAGTCCCGTCTATGCTGCCCTGCCTTTTCTCCCGACTTGTTAGTTTTCGCCTGTAGATCTTCGAGTTTGTGCGACATTTGCATCCATATGTATCTATAAATTATATTCATGCTAATCATCGTAATAAATTTGAGTATTCTCTTTTTTCTTCTTGCTTCCTTTTGATGTTTTTATTCTTCATTGTTTTTTCATATGCTGACTCGAACCGCTAAGCGTTGATGTCAGATTTCATCTTCATATTGTCTATCTGTCGAAATCAATTAAGCAATGAAACAGCTAAATAATGTATACTAGTAACGTTGGAATCTGTAAGTAGTAAAAAGAACAATACCACTTTAATCATTTCAGAGTGAAATAACAGCACATCTCCTTGCGGTATTCCTGTAAACATCTTTTCATTTTTATTTAATAATTTATTACTAGCAGTGTAATACCAAATAAACATTTCATTCTACTTACAAGATTCGGAAAGTATTCACTAACATCATTCTGAAGCAGTTGGTATGGGAAAAAATGGCGAAATTATCGCCTTATTATTAGTCATGACAGTACAATTTTCAGTACACAAAGGTGATATCCAATAAATAAAGTTCACAGAGAAATCGTTTTCAAAAAACAATGAAACGAATAGGTCAGAATTTAATGGTCTAGTGATTGATTGATTGTTACCATGATACATAACCAAGAATATGGAAGACATTTTGTTAAACAGATACAGAAAAAGATTGGAAAAGAAGTGAAGACATTTGTGGTTATTATTGATTATATTCATTAACAAATATCTTCTTTTAAATGCCAGTGAAATTATCTTGAAATTCGGTTTTAAATTAGAAAAGAGAAACAGCATGAAATAAAAATGTGGTAACCTTTACTTGCTTAGTATTCTAAGGGTGTAATTTACTAGCATAGTTTTTGTGTTGTTGTTTTATAAGTTTACATGAATAAAAAGTGATTCATTTCAAGGTGGTCGGTTTTATTATGTATTACAAATAATCTTGGGTTAATTTAATGCATGTAATTACAGTAAAACGAAAAAATGAGTAACACGAGTAAAAACAAACTGAGTGTAATTGCGGTTGATGACAATTAAAGCTGATAAGTCAGTCCATCTATTTTCATCTAGAATATGAAAAAAGTCGGACTTACTAGAGATGTCAGGGACATTCATGTCATTTACAGCAGATGTGAACTTTGTTAAAGCCTACGTTGCTTTCTATTACTCATTATTTATTATCATTTGACTATCTGAGATAGCCGTAGTTTGGCGGATAGTATTTATACTGGGGGATGATTGAAAGTGAGATGAAAATCTGGGCCGCAGCCGAATTCGAACCAGTGACCACCGGGTTACCGGTTCGGTGCTCTACCAACTGAGCTACGAGGTCCGACTACTGACCAGAATTTTATTTCACTTCAATCACCAAGGTTTTTGTCCAGCTACCATGTGAATTCGTGATGCGTTTTTACCAGTTGATCGTATTCACACTACCTATCTAGTCAGAACTCATCTCAATCCAAATCTAACAAAATCAGAGAGTGGTAGCATCATAGTGATTATCACTTGACTATTTGACTATCTCACTATCGAATCCGGCCCTGGTCCAGATTTTCATCTCACCTTCAATCATCACTCAGTATAAATACTAGTCTGCCGAAATACGGCTATCTCAAATAGTCAAAATGATGCATGAAATTTTTAAAAAACTGAACTTCAATTCATATGCCACATTTCAATGTTTTTATCAGTCACTGATGAATCAAATACACTGTGAAGTTGACAACTGCTTTATTTCTCAGTAACGTGATAGTAAATGTACTCTAGAACAACGAGAAACTAATATGCCTCAAGGTTTTCCTGAAGAGTATGCGAAGTTGAGTTCATTTTGGAGGCTAGTGGTGGAATCTAGGATATGCGATTCTGCCTAGATCCCACTACTACCCACCTAGTTGAAAGTAAAGAATTTTCAGGTTATATCGAAGTAAGTGCATAAAAACTCATCTGCCAACACAGGTCTAGCAGTTTGGTCCAGTTTAGCAATATGAGATTACAGGTATCATCAAATGTTATGCAGGTTTGTCTGATTTTTCTCCAATACAGTTGAATAAGAGTTGCTAGGGAGTTAATGGTAATAGAAGCTATTTAATAGACTTGCCTTATAGTAAATTGTACAACTGGAAGTCCGTTTTTAATGTATTTTGATATATAAAATAATCAGGTGAAACGCTGTTAGTATTATTTCTTGACAGAGAGATGTTAAACACACCAAACAAAGTGAAAGGCGAAGAAACTAACTTCAACTAAAACATTACTCCTAATGAGTTGGTTAAATTTCTGTTTGCTTGAAATTCTTGTTCTTTATCTATATCTGTGCATATGCATACATGCATACCTGCTAAATTTTATACTGTCACATTCATTCATTTGTCGAAAGTCCTCACGGAACATAAATAATAAAGGATAAGATAGAATATCTTGAAGAGGATGCCCAATTTATTCGATAAAAGTCTTCAAAAAAATCAACAGTTAAGCCGATATTTTTGGACATCTGGAATTAAAAATCGGCGAATGACTGATAATCTCTGATAACGTGTTAAAATCATGTGTAGTTCCTCAGCCAAACTTGATAAATTTGCGAACCTATTACCTTCTTATTGCAAACTAGATAGCACAAAGAAATTGTGATGAACAGTAACCAGTTACTTTGTATAGTTCGCTTTTATCATTTTAAGTAGATGGCTGAATCAAAAGGTACTAAGAGAAAAGAGACACTGATATTCCACAGTTGACATTTGTAAGAGAACATTCTTATTGGAAAAGTTTTGAAAGTTATAGAAGCCAATAAATTTCCGTTCACTATAATTGAATAAAAATGGGTGAGTGTTAAGGATCCTTGTGCTTTGATTATTCCGATGACATGAATAGAACAGTCTATGTTCAAAGCGTATCTCGTAATCCCAGTAATGTATACAATGTGGAGATTCAGAGCGACAGTTTATAAATGAAAACTGGTGAATAAAATCAAGTAGGAAGAAATACTGTAAAATGACGGTTTAGCTCTATGATCTCTAAATATTCGGAAGAACTTGTCAGCTAGGCGTATCTTCAGCCTTAAAAGAATTGATATTCCGCCTGAGATTCGAATTCACGTAATCAAGTGTTGCAGTCACAGGCATCATCACTGATCTATTCTGTATCTGACTTAACTTCAACCATTTAACATCCAAGAAAGTGTGGCACGTTATAGCAAGCCTCGTCGCTTGTTGGCTTCATAGCAAGCAAAATGATCAATATGGTTCAGTTAGTATTCAGAAAGCGACAAGATGAGGTCAGTTGCTTTTAAGTGGTCAATCAATGTACATAGTTTCCAGTTCTTTGGCGTTATCTGTTAAAAATTGTTTTCCCATATTCGTTATGTTGGCTGTTTGCATACTGCTTACCAGCACTGAACTGTTCTCAGTTTACTTTATAGAATTTTGAGGCTGAAATCACTTACTTCAGTAATGGTACAATTACGTTCAACCCAAATTCTCATCTTTATCATGATTTGTGTTCTGATCACATCTCATCTTGGAGTAAATTCACAAATGGCTGCTTATTATGCAGATGATTATCCAGAATCCAACATTTTGGAAAGAATATATCCAGCATTCGTTTCTCGTTATGGTGCACAAAATAAACGTGGTGGAATGTATGGTGGACTGCTAGGAAAACGTTTCTATAACTCATAATTAATATAATTTTGATTTTATATTTGTTTCACAATAATTTGGATTATTTGAAATAGTTTAAAATTGTGTTCAAAATAAAAAAATTATTCTGTGACAATTGATGGTATTCTCTGGTTTTCTGATAAAAGTTTTCTCAACCAACATCAGTTTTATGACACCAATTGTAAGTGCTTCTTTTTCTCCGTACAACAATGAACATTCCTGTATACCCATGAGCCAAAATATATGCACTTCATAAGGATAAAACTATTCAAGATTGTCGTTTTTCACTTCATCAGTGACTCAGATGACCTCCAGGTAACCGTGTACTGGTATTACATTTACCTGAGTTGAGTAATCATGTCAATTAGGAAACTGTATGTAACAGTTGGAGAAAATTATTATTATAGCCAACAAGACAGTAGATTGCATTTAAATCATGTCTCAGGATTTTATCGACCTAAATTCGAGTACCTACTTCACCATTCTTGCAGAAACTTGAACACATATGCTAAAATTACAAAGGTTCTTGAAAGAAAACTGGAGTCGAATATTCTGATACAGGAATATTTATTACCTTACAGCAACGAGTAGCTGAAATGAAAGTAATATTCCATACTGATACATGAGGAACAAGATTGTCTGATATTCAGTTTCAAATTAAAAAAGTATTACCTTCATTTACATTTGAACTAGAAAGAAAACAACTCTACAAGATGCAACAGAAGACCGTCACTAAAATAAACTATAGTAAGCCAGAAGTCTAACGTACGTTTACGTCTCGGAACTGCTTTTGCAAGCCTTTTGTAATCAAAGAAACCTAATTAATGTCTACAGTTTAATGAAAAGCAGCAATACACGAGGAAGGTGTGAGTAAATGAGAAAGATTGACAGAAAACTACATTTGACATCGAACTGAAATCCATTGTAAGCTTTCTGAGGAGCTTTTTTTCGGGCTGATCAATAAGTAACACAATTTGCAGAATTCCATTTTCTGTTCTGAACAAAGCCCTGTATGCATGCCGTTTAAACAGTTTTTCTTTGTTTATACTTTCCGGAAAAAATGCTTGCTTTATCGCTGAAGAAAACCTAATACTGTTACATGATTTCATTGATTTTTTCGAAGTTACGAACATAAATCAACATTAAAATTAAGACAGTCTATTTTATTCAGACTTCATATTTTGAAAGTTGTCTAGGATTAACGCTTATTATACAGACAGTAAAATAGCCAGCACAAGTAATTACCAATTAGCAATATTTTAGAGAACTATCCCCTTAAAATAAAAGACTTTTAGTACAAGCTTTCTTTAAAAAAATTGACTTACAATTCTATCAGTCATCGTAAACGGCAAAGACGCATTCAACAGACAGTTTTATCAAAATAATAAAAGTTTTGCTGTATATCCTATTCTTTTTGTGGAACTGATTAGTTTATGATTTTTTATCAATATTCGTTTCATCATATAAATAATATCAAAGATATAAAGAAACTGAAATATGCGAATGGAAGTATATATTTTGAGTATTGCATGTTCATGATTGTTTTAAATAACTTCCTTGGTTTCAGTAACCCCAACTAAGCGCCTTACACCTCCTTACATAGCTCATGTCAACAGTCAAAGGTTCTAGGGACTCGTGCAAGATCTTGCTGTTGTCACTCTCACCCTTTTTTCGCCCTAATTGTACTTCGGCCAATAGTGAACACTGAAATAAGCCGTGGATCGGCATGCGCAACCAATGTTCAAGGCACTTCAGCTGATAAAGACTTACAACTCAATCAACTGATCTCCTTTCACTGCTTAGTACCCCTTTGCTCATTTTTGAAACCATATATGTTCAACTCTAGTAAATTATTGTGGCTGAAGACGTGTAATCTTTCCAGATACAAGATAAAAAGGTAATGATTTTGATTGTATGAGAGTAATTGAAAATTTCACTGCGCCAGAAATGTAAAAAAGTGAACTTATTTTGATTTCTCAGATAAGTCCTTATATTGGAAGCAGTATTCATCATGGACTGGCATCATTTGGGGAGCCATTGAAAATCTGGGAGCACTAGACAGCTGTTTCGTCCAAGCATGAGGCTCCTCAAGGGCACTCACCCACAACCTGGCTAGGGATCGAACTCACGACCTTCAGGTCTGGGTCGGTTTCCACTGGTTCACAATTTCCAACTTCTGTCAATTCACGACATAGCGTGACTGTAACCCAAGGTCTTCCTTCAGTTAGCATCCACTTCACTTTTGACTGGTTGACCCCATAGGTCACGGCTTCTCGGTAGAGCATCGTGATATCCATCTGGAAGCAAGTCACCAATGAGTACTATAGAGTATTGTATTTTTGAGATGAATGGAGATTTTTTAATTTGGAATTAGTATTCATCATGGACTGACATCTGTTGGGGAGTCATTGAAACCACAGTTTTTCAATGGTTCCCTAACTGATATCAGTCCATGATGAATACTAATTCCAAATTAAAAAATCTCCATTCATCTCAAAAACCAATCTTAATCTATTGTTTCTGAGATTCGAAGTTTTGATTTTATATTTTATTGGAGAAATGACCCATTGAACTCAGAGTTTAATATACAGGCGTACCTTAATGGTTCATTCAATATCTGAGTTCGATCCACTAATTATTGTAATCAACATCATACGGGTGGAAAAATGGTTGTTGTAAATGCTTCAACGAATATTTCCTCTCTACATTAAACTCTTCATTTAATTTCACTATCACTCGCGAGCTGTCTCCATTGGATACGTATATGATATTTGTATTGTCCATCATCTCAATGGTTAAATAAAAGGTATTTGTAGACCATGAAAAGATGCTCAAACTAAAAAATTAGCATCCTATAGGCCTTTGGAACAAATAGAAGTTGCTCGCCTCCTGATGTTGCTATTGACCAGATAAATTTAAAGAGAATCATGTAAAATGAATGTTGGATATTACGACTACGCCCAGAATATCTTAGATTGCACTGTCACCAACGACTGTATGTAATGTACACACCAGTGGAAAAAGGGTAGCTGTCCATTGTAAAACGATGGACATAGCAAACAGTCACAATCACATACTGGTGATACTGATCAACTCATTACCGCAAAGGTAATTATAAAAAATTGATAACGGTATTTATTTATCAAATCGTGAAGTAACATAAAAATGTTTAAAGATGAAATTTATTTTGACGCTGTTATCCTTTTAATCTGTACAGTTGTATCAACATTTATTACAAGCCGGCCGGAGGTATAACTTGTGAACAAGGTTATTTAAGTTAGAAAAGATGACATAAAAGAATTTGATAGTAACAAGGCAAAAATATTGCAGAATAATTTTGATTCTGATTTCAAAATTATGTCTAAAAAGTAAGAAAAAGTAAATGTCATTATAACAAGTAGTATAAAGATTTACACCAACCTTATGAAGCATAATTTGGTTGGTTGTGGCTAGCAGAAGAATCCAGGTTGCACGTCTTGTTCTATTTGGGACTCGTGAGCTGGATGTACCTGCAACCCAGTGTTGTTCCTGCTGAGATTCGGACCTCCTACCCAACGCCTCGACATTTAACGGCAATGGGCACGAGGTTCGAGTTTTAGTGGGAACAAGATCACTGGGGTGTGGGCATATCTAGCTGATGAGTCCCAAATAAGACGGAACGCGCAACCTGGATTCTTCTGCTAGCCACAACCATCCAAATTATTATAACTAACATTCAGGCAAATCAAGGCATTCGCATATGAGCCCATATGCAAATAGAGGCCGAACAATTCGAACCAACAAAACAAAGGAGGACAACAAATATGTCAATAAATACTTATAAAACATGTTTCATGTGAGCAGATAAAAATAAACACTGTTACCAGCATGGACAACGTAAAAATGAATAAGGCAGCCTAAATTTACACGGGTTTTTCTAAAAAGGCTTACTTGAAACTGCAACACTCAGAACCGTACCCTATGAAGAATAATGGTATGTAGTGAATTTCAAAAATATATAATCATCAAGAAAGATGCGGTCTCCCTGGATTGAAGCAGATAGGTTGCACTAAACTCTATCTATTTTGCAGAGATTTAATTGCGGTGTACAGTAAATAAGTCCTCAAAATATTTAACGTGTAGATGGAAAGGAAACGGGTGAAAATTACATTTGCTTATATTCTTTTGTAATGATAACTTTATCTTAGGTTTAACAGATTTCATCGCCACACATTGTCGTTACTTTGATGAAACGAATGTATAAAAGCATTTCTGTTTCAGTCATTCAAATATAAAAACCAAGTGCACGTTGATGTATTGTCTTCGAAAATGGAAATAAATATGCTCACATGTGGAAACTACCTGTTTCTGAAAACATATATGTTTCGGATAGAGCAGGACACGGACAACATAAATTTTACTGTATTAGTTTTTATTTAAACTAGTTATTACTGTGTTGATGTTATGATCTGTACACACAAGAAGCAGCTTTCTGCAAGTTCTGCAAGTGCTGTAAGTCCATGATGAATGGCAAATTAAAATCAGTAAATCCCAGCAAATCTTCAAACTAATCATTAGTATAAATATTATTATCATCAACAAAATGTATTACATTTGAACATTGTTCTATAATATCTAGGATTCCATCATTCTGCTGAGCATACTTAAGTACACATGTTTGCTTTACGAAATTGTGCCTACATAAATTAAATTAAAGGTATGCAACTAGGTGATAATTGTATTTGAACCTATCACACCAATCATAATTTTTTCGTTATATATTTGAAGCTGAAGTACTTACTGACATCTAAATTCTTGCCCACAAACAACGGCAATAGAAGTGTTTCCAGAAGTTCTATGTTGCCCAACTTGATATTACTAATTAGATTACGAAGAAGCGATTAGAAAATGCTTTCATTCCATAATATCTGTACATTAGCGGTGATAAAATATCTAAGTTTATCTCAGACTTTCTTAAAAGTAATCTCTCCGTCAGTTTTTTATTAACATTTGTTGGTTCTGGGTTTGGTCTTTTAGACGAGATTGAACGGAAAGTTACAAACTATTCAGTCACAGGAAAACGAAGCAAAAATGTTAGTAGTTAAAGTGATATGCAGTGAAAACTGGTGCTTTGGT